TTTTTTTTTGATACTCAAGCCTTAGACTTACCAAAGCTGTAGATTGATTTTAGTCTCCGCATCCCAGTTGAGCGATTTAATCGCGAAATCGGCGCCAATCGTAATTTTGTAGTTGGACGAAAATTTTCCCTCTGTGTACCTTCTGACTATGGCGGTTTTTCCTAAAAAAAAAAAAAAAATCATCTATGAAATCAGCCTTTTTTTTTTAATAAAAAAAAATCCTCAACAGCACTTGTGTCTGTTGGTACCCACTCTGAGTTCCCGTAGAACAACATCATAAGGAAATAAACTAAATATTCTTACAATGGGTGCCAAGGGTTATTTTTTTGCGCGCTTTTACACTTTGCGCCCATAGACGGACAAAGTATACTTTTCGTTTGGCCTTCCTCACTGCACATTGCGCCCGAAATGAGAAAAGCGTCGTTTGCAACTCGGGCACAAACGTATACACATAAACCAACTTGTACAATATTGTACTTTAAAGTACAAGTTATACTTTGCGCCAATGGTAAAAAATGTGTACTACTTATTCTCTCGAAAGAATAAAATTTACGTCAACAACGCTTGATTAAACTTATACCACAATACGATTTACCACTCCAACCTGGCAAACGAATAAGCAAACAATATCTTATCTCCAAGTTTATCTGTCGATGCTTTTTCTTTTTCCGTCTCGCTTTGTATTATTATTTTATTTTTTTTTTTTGCTCCGTATACTTACGTATACATATTATGATGTGAGGTACAAAAAATACTGACCAACGCCGTAGTCGCCAATGACGAGAATCTTAAAGAGCCGTTCCCTCTGGCCAAAGTTCGACAAAGTGTCGGAGTCTTGTCTCGCGACCGGTCTGCCGGACATTATTACAGCTTTTCACCTGTTTGCCGGTGAAAAACGTCACCTCCGTAGCTAGTTGCAGTCCAAATCTCCACACCGATATATACATCAACAAATCCCGTGCACGTGCAACATTATAATATTTATTTACGTTACGGTAGAATATCTCCCATGTTTCACTTTTATCCGGTACTCTCGGCGTGGTCACACTCGTTTTAGTTGTTATCTATTGCATTTAATCACATTCACATGGGTATATATGATGTGTGGACCTTCGTTTGAAGCCAATAACAGCTTTGAAATTGAGGAAAAAACACACGCGATCGGTAGTACATGAAATCTCGAAAGTGCGATAACGAACAAAACGGTTATCGGTACGTAAGTGCCGCGATGGCACCGTTCTTTAGTGCGATGTCAGCTGAATACGAGGCCCTCGACTGACAGATACTTGATTCTCGTATGTAAGTACCAAGAAATGGCTGGCACCTACTCTGATTAACGATCACGCGTGAGTGGCTCGAACAGCTCACATTAAGACTCGTTTGAATTAAAATTAAATTTATGACCCTTGAAAGTATACTAAAACCCGTACACAAATGTATCTAAATGTTACAATGTACGATATGGGTATACCCAGTATATAATAACTATATTAAAACGATGCTACCCATAAAGACGATGGCAACCCAACTGGTTGACGAGATTATTTTTGGATGTAGGAATCGTGAAATTTTCGTTGGGAAAGATATACAGAGATCGTGAGTAGATATGATATCTAATACCTTTACCAGTGATCACTATGATTATTCGAGATTTGATTGGAGAATGGTTCCATCTTTCGAGAGACGAGCAAACTTTTTCTACATAGACGTTTTATCGATTGTCAGTAAAAGAGCGCTCTTTCCCTCTCTCTCTCTCTCTCTCTCTGATGGTGATATTTTATTTTTTATTTGAAACATATAATTATAAATGGGTAGACCCGTATCGACTTCAATTTCCTGGTGACGATGAAAAGTGGAATGAAGCCAAAAACGTGATTGAAACGAGGTACCTACTTAACAACAGATCAAAAAAACAAACATTTTCATCGATTCTGCCAATAGCGAGCAGTAACAACTGTATGAAAGGGAACACGATCCAATACGCAGTATGAATGAGTAAATCCACAAAAATATCACTGTTCCGTAATTTTCATGAAAAAATTATCGTACATATGAATATGATTTTAAAGCATTAAAAATGAAAGAAAGGTGTATCGCCTCGACTGAAACTCGTGTTTACGATTTTTTCCATATTCTTCATGACATTGCAAACGAAATTCAATTGAGCCGCGTCCCGAAGGGTGTGCCTCAAAAAAATGTCCATCAAAAGATGACGTACGAATTCATGGCATTTTTTTGTGGATTTACTCAAGTAGGTACAGGTGAAAAAATAAAAGCTATTTTTAGTCTTATCGCGCTTACCTTATCGCCAAACCTCCACTCGAGAGCCGATCCACATGATTAACCTACTTGAAAATGAGATGTGATCTTGGTTGTACACATACCAGATATAGTTTAGTTCCAGGAAATGATAAGGGAATGTCTTGCGAGTGCTGAAAAAAAAACAACATGTGTTTATTATAATAAATATGTGTTTGTAAACTTGTTATCTTAAAGAAAAACATTTTATATAGAAAATCTCGTAGTCTTTCGAATACTCTGTACATAATTTGAAAACTACGTGGTTTTCTTCAATAAAGTTGTTTTACGCGACACGTCGCAAGAACAACGATACCTCAACTGCGGCAAGTAGGTGTACACAGTTTGCAGGGCAATCATACTCTACATCCTAAAAATGTTAAATTTCTAAATGCATCATTTATGATTGAATACTCAAAAAAGCTACGTTGACGCAATTTTTCTTTGGTATATATTACTGGAAAGAAACTTGCCCGCCTATCAGTACCAGGATAACCAGAAGTGCCATTTTTATGCCCGACAATTATTCGTGAAATCGTTCAATCGCGACTGTTTTTGATTTTATCCGTCCAGCAAAACTCGATAGACGAAATAAAAAAGAAGAAAGAAAGGCTATTATGCTCTTGTCGCTCGCGTCTACTTCAATTCTGATACGTTGACGCAAAACAGTCTTACATTTTTCACTGATCAACCAATTTTCTTTTCAGATTAAAAATAATATTTGGACACGTGAAGATGGAAGAAGAAAAAAATATAGCCAATTGCTACGTCGATGGGTAATTACTGTCAAAACAATGGATGTATAGCCCGTAATAATACATTATCAATGCATTGAGCTCGTCATTCGATACTATACATTTTCCAAAACTTTTATGATTAGCCGTGTAAAATCTCCTCTTAATAAAGTCTGAAAATTTAACATCACCCAGCAACCTATCCAAGTATTCTTTCATAATTTTTTTTATCCCCGTCATCATCCTTAATGCTATCTTTAAAGAAGCTTTTTTTTTTTTTTTTTTTATTTTAGCTCCGGATGACAGCAGCTTTTTCAAACCGACCTTATCATATCGTCCGGACGTCCACATCCGCGAGATTCGTGTGCTGGCGACCTGCATCGCCGCCGTATACGTAACTACTGTACAATTAATTATTCATAACAGTGTTCCATTCGCCTTTTCTACTTTTGCAGGTCACTCTCTTCCTCGATCGACACGCTAACCCATTTTTTCTTTTTTTTTTTTTTAAGGCCGCACCTTCATATCGATCACTTAATGCGCGTTATCATATACATACGGAATAACTGATGCACCTTTAATCACATTTCGCTCCATGTCAGCAAGTATACATAGAAATAATAAATAACGTGTGTCACAAATACTATTGTTATTGTTGTTGTTGTTGTTGTTGCTGTTATTATTACCATCATTATTTTTATGTACAAAGACACCTACATGAAATGCATATACGCTTCGCGATTCTTTGAGACCCACCGATTTCCGTTTCGATCTTGATCAATATGGATTAAATTTATTTCCAATGGGCTCTCGAAAAGTTCATAGCTGTACAAATGTATAATGCACCCAGTGTACTTAAGTGGGGCACTCGTAATGATTTGTTTGCAATTGGTGTATACACGTGTATGTGTGCACTGTTCATTCGTTTCATTATTTTTTATATCGATTGATCTTCAATTATGGGCTTTATTTTTCGAAGGAAGGATACAGCGTGAGCCACACACGCTATTGCATTTTTTACGATTTCAGTAACCAGAAATTCACAAAAGAACAGTATCTTGATGAACTTGTATACGTGCATGTTCGACACCCCCCGCGCGGATACACTTAATTACTTTTAACGAGCGCAACCGTAAAGCGTGTGCAATACACAAAACATTCGAGATTAAGTATATATAATACAGGTGTGTGTATATAATATATGTATCAGTGAAACATGCTCGTTGACAAGCGGTAATTGACAAACTGTTTTTTTTTTCCTTTCCTCTTGTAAGTTAAACGCATTGGTGTAACGTATTGTATACGTACGTGTATACCTATAAGCGTGTATCTACTTTTCAGCGGGTTTGTATATGTTTAGTTTACAAAGTACCTACTCAAGTGATTATTCGCACATTCACGTAACATTGGTGACATTATGATACATTGATATTTTTTCACACGGTGTTTTTAAAAAATTTTTACAACAAATTTTCTTTAAACTTTTTTCATACGCGTGTACTCTTAGGAAAGTTACGAAGAACATGTTATAAATTGCACGTGCAACGGAGTACTAATTTGTATTAACGCTAATATAAAATTTTGCAACGAAGAAAATAAAAATTCACCATTAAAAAAAAAAAATTCGTCGTTGGGTCTCTGTAACGTATACAGATTAGCGGTAGAATTGATGCAATACAAATATTGTTAAAATTATCTTGCTGCTAAAAGTCAATGACAGTTACAGTTAGCATTTGAAAGCTATTAGTATGGTGACTGGTGAGCTAAAAGTATAACACAAGAAAATAAATTACGCGACACCGATGACACGCTTCTCGCATATTATCTGATGATGCGAATCAATATTTAATTACTCCACAATATAATACTATACAGAGGGCGGATCCTTGGTGCAAGTTTTACCCCCGTACAAGTGCTGGGGATATACAAAGAGAATTTACCCCGTCGGATTTTAAACGGCTGAAAATAAAGTATACGTCCAAGACCGAGGTAGGATTCAAAAATCGAAGCGGGGCTTCTATGGCATGTATAAGTACTACGTAATTCTGTAGCGCCGCGCGATGCCCCGATATAGCGCCTCCGGCGTAGGAAATAGCTATACGTATATACATGCCACACATGCAAATTCATATGCAGCGATGTGAGTTGCAATTGTGAGGAGAGGAGCTCAAACGGTGCATTGCCGCATAGGCGTAACGCGAGAGTTAGTCTAGGGCGCGGGTGGTGGCGTAAGCACGTCGTCGCCGAGGCAAACAGGAGAGCATGTCAACATTGTCAATAAGCTACTGCAACTCGTCAACGCAGCAGCAGCAGCGTGAACGATAGCGGAACGACGAGGTATGGTGTTCAGTGGCGTGCGAGCTGACGCCGAGGTCACTCTGCTGGGCACAGACTCCGGTCAACATCACAGCATGATATACAAGACCGGGCGATCTTGCTTCAGGGCACTCTATCTCTTGTGCCTCAGCAGGACGATACTCGTCCTTGGCTTCCTCTTTGTTTTCTGGCAGAGTTACACTAGTTAGTATACACACTTCTTCATATTCTCATGCACTTGTGCATAAATGTACATATTTCATAACTCATTGATCTTCTGAACTTTGGCTCTTTACCTATAGTCAAAATTCAAATTTACCAAACAACGGTATTGGTTTTGGAGCACAAATTATTTCAATACCAACTTTGTTGTTTGATAAATACATATTATACCTACTTGTAAAAGTACTTCTTTCATTTCTCTATTTCAATATTACAAGCTACTCAATTACTATTATTAATATTATTTTTTTATTTTTAAATCAAATTCATGGATTCGTTTGCCACCTTTGTAATTACTTAATTAAAATTCACACCAATTAAAACAGTAAGGATAAACATTTACAAACAATTTTCACACATTTGAGTGCTATTACTTTTTAGATTTCAAGGCCCAGGAAGAATTGTGTCGTATGACAAAAGAATCTCTGGAAGCAATAAGGGCAGCTTCGATAGCTTGTAAAAATATACATGAACCAGTGCATGTACCCGTTCCTACCAGTGCCAGAATATGCGATGCTGTTTTAGAGTACACCAAAATAGGAAATGCACCAAGCGACTATCCAACCATTTACGCAATAACACCAACTTTTGCGAGACCAGTGCAAAAAGCTGAACTCACCAGGTTATCCCAAACATTTTTGCTTGCGCCAAATTTTCATTGGATCGTTGTAGAGGACTCTCCAAACAAAACTCCACTGGTGACAAATTTCCTTGCTCAGAGCGGTCTTACTTATACTCACCTTCACGCGCCTACGCCATCAAATTACAAGCTTGGTAAAAATGATCCGAATTGGAAGCAGCCAAGGGGAGTAGAACAGCGAAATGCAGCTCTCAGGTGGATCAGGGCTAATCTTAATGAGAGCCACAATGGTGTTGTGTACTTTGCGGATGACGATAATACGTACTCTCGTCATCTATTCCAAGAGGTAAGGTGAATGTTCCAATGATGGGCTACTTAATGATTTACTATTTATTTAACTTTAAAGTAATAATCGATTTTGCAGATAATGAAAGTAAAAAGAGTTGGTGTTTGGCCAGTTGGTCTTGTTGGTGGTCTAATGGTTGAAAGGCCCATTTGTGATAAAGTTACAACCAAAGTGACAGGTTTCAATGCAGCATGGAAACCCGACAGACCGTTTCCCATTGACATGGCTGGTTTTGCAATTAATGTAAAAGTAATTCTAGAGAAAAAAGATGCTGAATTCACATATGATACTCAAAGTGGCCTTCAAGAAAGCAAGATCCTTCAGCAAGTGACAACCAGGAAGGAATTGGAGGGCTTGGCTGATGGTTGTACAAAGGTAAGGATTTTATTTTAACTGATGGCTTTCTACTTATTTTGGTGCGTTTTGTGTTTAAATTATGTACCAGTAGAGAAAATCTACAAGTATTTTATTACCTACCTATTGTCAATAAGGTAGATTTCTTGTATTTTCTTACCACTTGAGTCGTAAAAAACTTTTATCATAAATTGATGAAAATTTCGCAAACTTCATGCACATAAACATTTTCTCTACTTATTTCCTTTAATTTAATAATTTTGTGTTATTTATTATAATTCTTTGCTTACAGGTGTATGTCTGGCATACGCGAACGAGCACTCCCGCGCTCAATGCCGAAAAGAATTTAAAGAAAATGGGAAAATCCTCCAATGCAGGAATTGAAGTGTGATATTCCGTCCAGATGATTGAGCGATGGAATTAATAAGCACACATGCGGAATCGAGCGTTTACGTCTTCGAGACTTGCCATATCAAATCTAGTAGATTACACGCAGTGCCAGTGGTACTTTTAATCTTCTTCCCAAAGCACGTTCGCCAAAATAAAAACACGCTTCTTCGAGACTCGTGCCGCTTTCGTGTCGATGTTTTGGACAAAAAGATGAGCATGGGTGCTGATTGACGATCACTTTTATAGAGAAATAAAAAATACACGCAAGTATTTCTTGAACAGACTGATGACTAATGATACCGAGCGAGAATTGTGTAATTAAAGTGCCACCCTGAACCGCACAGGGTAAATGATTTTAGGACTTGAATCTCGAATTAAGGATAGGTGTGAGAATGTAACGCTTTACCCCTCGTACGCTGATGATATTTCGACAAAACTCGTGTGTGATATCGTGATGGTATGTATTACATGAGAAGAAAGTGCGACAGGTTCGCACTTCTTATTATCAGTTCTGCATACTGATGTTCCACTTATTTGTGTGTAAAGCTTTGTTTTGTCTATTCTATTTAATAAAATTTCAATGGAATGATAGTACTAAAAAAAAAAGCTGATTCACTTTTTCACAATATATTTTTTAATCTTTATTGAAACCCATTTGTCATTGTGGTGTACAGAAAAAGCATACATAAAAAATATGCCCTAATTCTAATCCTTGGCTTACAGCTAAAGGTTTTCGAAAAACCGGAAGATGCGATTCTTAATACTTTTTGTGGAAAGCAACATCTTTGTTTTTCTTTTGTTCGGTTGGGTCGGCTTTTTTGTACAGTCTAACTTTTATTACTTTTGTTCCGCCAATAGCTGTGTGAACGTCATTCTCGTTCATATTTTTATTTTATTTTATTTTTTTACTTTCCAGTTCAGTTGAAACGTGAAAATACTGAAAGTGTTGAAACAATACGTTCTTAAAATTAATTTACATGCTTAGGATTGGCTTTTCAATTTTCAACTGATTTTGTATATTATTAATTTAGAGCAAATCAACATTTTAAGTAAGTAAGTACTATATTTCTTATAATCGTGGAAAAACTCTTCCTTTTAAATATTTTTTTTTTCGTGTAAAAAAGCTACGCTTGCAGAGAGAATGTCATTCAGTCATTCTTTGCGCAAATACATAACTATTCGCTCGAGACTACATTCTAGGTCTCATTGTTCCTGTCGAATATTTCTTTCTTAAGACTAAGGAATAACGTTTACAAGCATTTACAAAAAACTTATCACAAGATAACCAAATACTCATAAACAAAGCTGTTTAAAAAAAAAGATCAACGATGATACTTATACAAGTTGATCTTTCATCCAAAAGAGCTTTGTAATTTATTTTTTTTTTTTTTTTTGCAAAAAGCATTCTTATCCTCGTAGATACTCAGTGATACTGTCGGTCGAATGTTTTCGGGAATTTTCAATTAGCAAAGTTTACTCGCCAATAACGAAACCACCACTGATAAGGTTACAGATAAAACACACACACATCTGCGCATCAGATTTACAATACGCGCATTTTTTTTTTTTTTTTTTTTTTTTTTTAAGTACAAATATTATCTTAAAAGGTGAAACGAACGAACGGCATACAAGCAACAGTTATATTTATCGCAAAAAGGCGAGTATGTGTCAATTGGCCATAGTGTTTCGTCAAAGTCGAACACTACATACACACATTGAACAGTAACATTAATTTTCATGTCATGGAAATTTCAAAGGGTAAAAAGTAATTTTTTTTTTCTTTAAATCCAAGATTCGATTGTCGCGTTGAGTTATGTATATCGTATTAAACTTTCAAAAACGTAGGTACGGGCTTGCTGTTACATTGATGATACAGAAAGTACATAAATACACACAGAGAGGAATCAGTCTTTGATGATGAAATAATTGAATGAACGGGTGTAAAAGATTTAATTTGTCAATTCGATTTGAACACAGTTTGAGCGCAGCGCGAAACGAAGCATAACACATCAGAGGACGTCGTCGTGGATGCACGTCAACCGATTGTTGCCGATTTTTTTTACGATCGGTTCGAAAAAAAGAGCTTGTATCTGCCCAAAAACTGTGTATACTAGCGGCGATCTGTTTTTGTCCCGCGTGGCAAATTATCCTCGAAAATATGGGACTAAAGTATATATATAAATGCGCTCGATATAATATCCAAGAGAAAACGTATTTACACAAAGGTTAATCAAGTGTCATGACAATTACGACGTAAATGATGAGCCGACGTACTAGATTGCAGCTGCGTTGGGTGGGATCTCTGTTTCACGGGCGCACCGCAACATACCGTCGAACGAATCTGCGCGCTTCCACAATCCTCTCTCTCACTTTCTTTGTTTGTTATTTTATTATTATTATTATTATTTTTATTTATTTATTTTTTTTCGTTCGAATCGCAGAATTAAATAACCTTAAGCGTTTGAACTCAAGTGTACCCCTTTGTTTTCGATATATATTGTCATCGTTCAAGAGACACGCAGTCTGCAGCGGGCGACCCGCCAAGTAAGCCCCTTCGACGCCATCCATACTTAATTTTTTTTCTTTTTTTTTTTTGTTCACGTCAGTCGAGGTTTGTTGCAGGTCGCGCCGCAGCGCTTAAAGACTCGTTCCCGGAGAAAGAGAGATTTACAATCTAGTACGCCGGAAAAATATCTAGACGGCCGAGTCCTTGCCGTTGAAGCCGGTCTTCGATATTGACCTCTTGCCGTCGAACGTGACCGAGGTCTCGTGTCGCACCCCCGAGTCGATTATCGGTGTGATCTTCTTTTCCTCCTTCAGCGGCTCCTTCTCGTCTCTGTTGGCAGCCGGGGAGGGTTGGGAAAAGAAAAAGTAAGCGGTTGTTCAATCATTTCGGCAATCACACCTACATCTTTTGGTGAGCTATGTGTTCTAATATCATGTGTTTTGCATTATTATTATTTATTACTTTTTTTTTTTTTTTTTTTTTTTTTTTTTAAGTACAAATATTATCTTAAAAGGTGAAACGAACGAACGGCATACAAGCAACAGTTATATTTATCGCNTTGTACCAGTTTGCCGGGAGATTACGTGCGGTCTCTTTTCTTGCTCTCCTCCTGTTTTCTCGCTTTTTTTTCTCTTTATCCAAAGCACTAAACACTGATAACGCTGCGCATGCCAATACTGCTGTCATCGATTTTACTCTAATATGTTACGCACAAAACTAGTTTTCCTTATTTTTTTCCAACAAACATTTACTGAATATAAATAACGATTTGGCATACATGTGCTCGTGAAGTGATGAAGATACTCAGATTCAGTAAATATTCGTCCAAATATACTGTGACAAGAAAATGACACTAAAAAGCTATGGAGTTAACTAAAGCAATGACTAAGTGTGTACGGACACGTACAGGAGTGAGAAAAATCGTTTTGTAAATTGTCACGTGTGATAGAAAATACATTTTTCCGCCCTCGGGTGGTTATGGGAGGCTGGTACTTCCTTGGGCGAAAAAGCAGTTTTCCGGAACTCGTTCGAAAAGTCTCCTTTACGAACCTCGTTACGTCCCTCGCCTTCGGCTCGGGCCGCAAACGTCTCGGTTCGCAAACAGAGACTTTTCAAACTCGTAGGAAAACTACCATTTTAATGCATTTTACTTTTTGTAAAAATAATTGCATTGCAAAAGTATTATGCTCACTCCTGTAGGCGCACAATGTGTAGTTAAAGACGTGCAAGCACGGCCAAAGCATGACGACGACGAAATGATGCGTATTCCGATAAAAATGTGACCAATCAGTGATGAAAGCAACGCGGAAAATAAATCTTGTGCCATCGGAGGTTTATACGTTATTGATGATTTGCGATACCTTTTCGCGATCTTAGCAAAAACACCACTTGTATAATATGTACCGTTTTACGCACACCCAAACCGATTTGCGTGTACCGATTACTGAAACTAAAATGTGATCTTTTGACAAAACGTACGCGAGTAGACTCAGAAATACTAAAATATTATATAAAATACAGTGAGAGAAAAAAATAATAAAAATTTAGAGAAATTCCAGCAAAAATTACCATTTCGCACAGTAAATCGAATGCACCTGGCAAAAAAGGAAAAAGTTATTTTTAACAGTAAAAATCATGGTTAGAATAGTAAAAATTACTATGCGGAAAAGTAATAATTTATTAAACGATCCTTTTAAGATTTACTGTTCCAGCATGGTAATTTTTGCTGGAATTTCTCTATAATTTTTATAATTTTTTCTCTCAGTGTATACGAGTTAAAAAATATGAAGGATGGAGTAAAAATCAACGCAATCTCAAAGAAAAAAATCTAATAAAGACATAATTGTGAGAGTAGATTACGAGTACCGAAGAGAAGAAGCCGAGATGAGCGAGTACAGCCGTTTGAGCTTAAAGAGCACCACGCACGGTTTTTCTCTACGAGTAAGTTACGTGCGTGTGGTGACGCGGTATAAGCGTCCCTCTCACGAGTAATATAACGCATTAGGGACAGAGTTGAGAACGAAAAAAAAGCACGAGGAAGAAGCAAAAGAAAAAAAGTAAAAGCCAAGAAGAAAAAAAGTGGTTGGCGGGGGCTTTTCTGCGCGATAAAAGGATGTTCGGAGACAAGGGTGAGAAAGTATATAACCGGAAAAAAAATCCGAGCCACATGCTGATTCTTTTTCGAGGCTTTTTTTTTTTATTTCCCTTAGCTGTTCAACGTGACGTAACTCGGCCGTTAAGGAGAGAGCAATTAATGTGTACATGTGTAGCGGACAACAAAAACACGTTCAAAGACGTATACTCAAAAATACGAAAATGATAAACAAAAAAAACGAACGAACGGCATGCCAATACAAAAATAAAGGGGAAAAAAAAAAATTAACAACAACGTCGAATTTGGCACTGCTTCATGCTTCTTTGAGTTGTTGAAAATGATAAAATTTCAAAATCTCCGGATAGTTTGTTTATTTTTATCTAATAAACCGTGAGCTAGCTTTGCTTTTTTGTTTTATTTTTTTCTCTTACATGGGAGTATGCTTGACCAGTGTAATGGTACATTTTCCACTACCCGAGTCTTGAATGGCCGTCACCCCGGCGACGTTGGCCATTTTTTGGTCGCAATATGGCAATGGGAACCGCCAACCGTAAAGACTATATGCACGGTGAGAAAACAGAATGTGTCAGTTACTTTTGTACAATTTGAACTTTTTCATTTGCGTATATCTTTCAAAAATTTTATTTCCCATTTTTACCTACTCAATTTTCATTTTTTTTCTTTTACATTTTCAGCAAAAACAAGGAATGGAGAAAAATAATTTTTGAAAAATATTGGCTATTTGGTGTTGTTATGATAAAATTCAATGCGCATGTGTTTTGTATGTATACAATACATATAAAAGAGCAAATGAGAAAACGATAAAAATGCATAGTTTATGAATGAGGCTACGAGAACGCGTTTGGAGCAAAGAAAATTTGATGACACGACAGCGCCAAATTTGCCAAAGCATCATTATCTTATAATTATACATATTTGTGTGTGTGTGTGTGTGTGTGTCGAGTCAAAACGACGAGTTTTTTTTGTCTGCCAAGTACACATATATATACTGCATACTATGCAAGTATGATGCGTGTCTAATTGTGGCATAACTATATGTATGAAAGTTTTCATCATGAATCTTCTAAGTTATGTCGACGAGAATGTGAAAATAAAATTCACCCGTACCTTCCCAGTCTGTCATCCTCGTCCGCAGGCTTCCTTCGCGATCGTTCGCACACGTAGTAAATAATACCTGAAAACAAGAATCGATTACAATCATTGACGCACCAAAGAATAATTGATACGTATGAAATGGTTTCAACAAAGAAAGGCCGATAAAAAAAAAAAAAATAATAAATAAATAGGAGAAGAGGTACATACCTGACTTGTTGGTGCAGCAGAGAATGGCATCCGTGATTAACATGATGATGATAAGAGCCGCGATGACTATACCAATTATGGCCGCGCTCGAGATCATCGAACCCTGGTGTCGAAGGACAGACGCGTTGCTCGTGTTACCTGAAAGGAGAAAAAGAAAAAAAAAAAAGAAAAAAATCCACCAGTTAATGCATTTTCAAGTAAAAACGTTTGCTCGCTGGGCGGTGATATAATAGTGTTAGTGCAGAAGCTGAAAAAAAGAAACGTAAGTAGTACAATCGGAACGATGCTTGGTGATGAGATGTGGCTATTATAAACTGCGCCATTGTCCTGCTTCGTTGAAGAGTAAAAACATGGGGCGAACGGATGAAAAAAAATTTTTACGTGTCTATCTGTCGATCGCAGATAATCAGTTTCATGGAACGAACAATTGATGCGATGGATTATAGCGTTATGGTGTATGTCATATGGGACCCGCACGAAATTTTCATTAGCCGGAAGGACTCGTTGGTCGCCCCTTTCAAGCTCGAGCGATCACAAAAACGTACTGGTACACAAGAGAAAAAAAAAAGTAATAATTTATACAGCGCACGACGCATCACCAAACACATGAAAAGTCATCGACAAAGATTCGTATTAAAAAAAAAAAAAAAAAAAAAAAAAATTCAGAAAATTATAAACAAGCACCTGTTAATCGTGAAAAAGCAGGTTTGGGGAATGTTCCTTATATCTACGGATGCAGCGTGTATTCTATGAATCCCCGCAGCTTTGATCGTTTTTTTTTTTTTTGTTAATCGCGAGAGAAATCTCGAAAGAGGCCCGATGCACTCTGATGGATTAATGAGCGAATGAGAGACAACGAGTGTTAGTCGCAGACGGGGTGCATTGTACCTGCAGCTTGAAAGCAGTTTGGCAGAGAGCGAGTGAGCGGGGGAGATGCAGCTGGCGATAAAAACACGTACAACTTTTTTTTTCTAATGTTTTTTCTCACGGCGGGAGCAAGTAACAAGAAAGGAAAAAAAAAAAAAAAAAAAAAAAAAAAGGGAGCAAAAGACGCAGTTGAAGTAAACAGCGTGAAAGAGTGAAAACTCGCGTTACTGTACTACGGGTGTAACAAGCGCAGGAAAAAAAGAGTAAGCAAAGCTGGCACGCTTGGCTCTCTCGAACGTATATATATATATACATTTGTTAGTCCACTAATGCACGTTTGCTACTACTCTACGTAATTACGCTTTGCTATGTGTATACCTACGCAAGATACCAACACCCACAAGCCATAACAGCAGCCACACACCACGTTTTATCTTTATAGTTAAAAAAAAAAAAAACAGAGAAAGAAAGAGCCATCACCGTACACACATTGTTAAAATTTGTTAAAAAAACAAAAAAAAAACGAGCAGTCTTGTTAGTTTCAGAGGCAAATCAAAAATTACTTTGCTTATTTTTCAATATTTACCATTCCACAGTGATCGGTCAAAAAGTCTTACTCCTCCCGGATGAGCTTGCAATGAGGGCTTTTTTGTTTGTTCGTCTATCAAAGTGTTCGTTTGGATAAAAAAATAATCGAACGGACTCGACAGTGAAGTCAATGCAAATTTTCATGTCAGACATGCATTTTTTTTTCCATCCCATCCATTTGGGTCGTCGATAATTCGAGGTGAGAAATTTTAGAATAAAGAAACACGAAATACTTGAAATTGACTTCAATGTCAGTCCTTGCGTGAGCAATTTGTTTTTTTCTTCTCCCCTTCGGGATGATTCGTGTATTTTTCAATAATTTTTTTTTTATTTTTTTTTATTTACAGTAAATAAATGCTTCACAAAAAAGAAAAATAATTGTATATATGCATGTGTGTATATACTTTTACGTACAAAGTGTATGTATTATTATGCACAGAGATGGTCAGAGCAAAGTGTTGTTGGCAAAAAATGCATACATGTACACTTGTAAGTAATACCTATAATAATTGGCTGTCGATCTCTGCGTAGAGTAAATCTTTAAAAGCTAAACACACAAACGACATAAGTAATATACTTGTATGTGTATTACACATTGTTACGCTCGATACGACCGCTCTGTACGTACTTGAGTGCGCCTAGAGTCGTTGACTCTTTATCATTATTATTTTCTACATACGTTTAATCAACAACAATGATTGCTTTCGTTGTATCGGTAAACTATGTGCACGCGTGCCTCCTTTGATTTCCTTTTTTTTTTTTTTTTGCAGCGAATAAACATAGCACAATTAGGCCGATACTCTGTATAGCAAGTATAGGCATGTATAGTGTTCCGATCGGTTTCGTCGTCTCGCGCGGCAGCGGTACAATGGCCATTTCCATTTCTCTCGCGGCGACGGGAAAATCGAAAGAGAGGAGCCCTCGTTTCTATTTGCGGAGAAGTGCTCCGTATAAACCCGCTGCACTCGCGACGCGGAAATCGAAACAGTCGTCTCTCGCTCTCCAGAAATTCACTGTCATTTATAAGCTTAAAGAGCTTATTTCCCGTTACGAGGCTCGACTCTGTAGGTGTGCATATATATATATATACCACTGATAGCTTCTCCGATCGCTTCATCTGAGGTGTACTTTTTGCTCCGTTGGCTCGAACTTTTGATTGAATTTTTCTTTGAAAACCAAAAAAAATAGAAATCTCGAGGTAAACAATGCAAACTATACGCGCGAGATGAGAACCGAACGGAAACTATTTTGAAAATCGCTCGAGAAAGCAGGCAGACGTCGCTAATTGGCGTAACGCGGCACTGTCGAAGGGAATACATTTAAAGGGAGGGAGGAAAAAAGGAGCGTTCAAGCACAGCATGCCATGCATTGCGCCGCGCGGAAAAAAAAAAAGAAAATGGACACGACGCCCCTCTGATCTTCTTCGGAGTATCGACGAAAATTCCCAGACGAGGAATCGCGACGCGTTTCGCCTTACCCTTTGAATTCTTATATAATCTATACGAGATGATGTTGAATTTAATTTGAAAAAAATTATAACTTTGTCATCTCTGATGGCGGAAATAAGGCACGTGCTTTTAGTATATATACAGTAACCTCGTTAAACGGTCGCTGTCGATTAATTTTGACGCTTTTAACGCGAAAAGTGCCGCTGTTATATTTTCTCACAAGTATATACTTAATAACATGAACACTTTTTTCAAGCACATGGACGCAGAGATGAAAAAAATTTTTGCGTAAGATTCTCTTGAAAATCACAACTTACGGGCTAGTGCGTTAGTTATCATCTACGTGTATTTTATTAAATCACGTACATATTATACACTCGTTATCAACACTATAGCAGTATGTTATTACACAACTAACACTAAATACATTACGATACTGCAGTTAAACAAATGGGTTCTATAAAATTCTAAAAAAAAAAAAAAATGAAAAATAATCATGCGCTCTAAACACGTAGATCGAAGAAAAAACGTTTCGAAAAAAAAGCAGGCAACAATGTAAACGAAAAAAAAAACATAGTTGAGAGGAATGATGGTAAATTAAAATAGTAAAATTAATCAAACGTGATCGTATTGATTTTTTTTTGATACATCAAGTTTGTTTTAAGTATAATTTGTACGCATAATTGATGATTACGATGCAACAGGCGCCTCATCCTCAAAATTATACCGTACTGGTTTGTATAAGTATATATTTTTGTAAATATATATTTGTATCGATTCCAGCCTCCGGGATTCTCTCGCTTAAAATTAACTATTCGTTAAAACTACAGGCATTTGGCAATTTGTAAGGCATTCAAATTCTTATTATCTTGATTGTAGTAGGCTTATCGGCTTGAATCCCACCGAATTTAANCGAACTTCGCCGAGAGAGAGTATGCAGCGAAATTTCATCACAGTTCCAAAACGCGGTGGTACAAGGTATAGGGCCAAGCTTTCGGAGCTAATCAACTCGGCTCCTCTTCATGCAGAGATGGCAAAAAAAGGGCTCGATAACAATTAAAAAAAAAAAAAAAAAGGGCAGGGCCAATTAAAAAAAAAAAAAAAAAAAAATAGCTAAGTTTTTTTTTTACATTGATTCTGTGTTCCTGAATGCACGCTGCATTGCACGAAGAAACTAAGAAACGTACCAGTACGTTTTTTTTCTTTTTCTCTTTCTTTTTAACAATTGGAAGAAGTATTTCAACGCGATATTGCTACGCTACGTATAGTATAAATATACGTAAATGTATACTTTGCTATCGAACATCGATAGTTTGAAAATTGTTTAGCTTAAGTATATATATATATATATATATATATATGTATATGTATCATTCAAACAATATTTTTCTTTCACTCCCATAACACTTCGGAATGTATGTTCGATAAATGTTTGACACGAATCTATCTTCAATCGTTTATCGATGAAATTAAAGTCGAGTTCGAGCTCGTTTGCAATCCATTCGCTCTTGTGCTTTTCGACTTTGTAGCGGTACATCGATGTCTTCTCTTCGTGTTACTCATATTTTTAAGAATTGGAAATTAAAGAGATCACACGCGGTCGCTTACATCTTGTGTTGTGTACGCTCGTATGTTTCTTTTTTTTTTTTTTTTTCAATTTTTTTTGTATATGTCACTTGAATTCTCAAGCTCTGTATGTGTGTGAGTGTTCCTCCGAGATTCGGATCAATTATGTCAATTATCGCAAGTCGTTTCAATGATTTTCAGCTATAATATATTTAAACGAACGAATAAAGGACCACAAGTGTAGCAGCAACGAAGTTCACGGTGGGCAGGCTAGAGACTCCGGATGTGAAACTTTTGTTTTCGGAGACCGCAGATTCTGGATGGTAACAAAAAACTTGGTTGAAAGATTGTACGAGAGAAGAAGAAGAAGAAGAAGAAGAAGAAGAAGGGGTCAGTAAATGCATTTAGTTTGACTCTAATCTGAACTCTAGAGGCACTTTATTCTCATCCCGCATACCCCTATATGCTTCATATCTAATGTAAAACCAAGATGCACTCTAGTTTTTCATTGCTCTCAATCAAGGGTACATGTTGGTCCGCGATCGTTTTTTTTTGGTACGGCAAAGTATTGTATAATTAAAAAACAAAACTCTCGGGGTAAAAAACAAACCAAACGAGGACAAATGAAAACGTAACTCACCTCTGGTTGTTTTGATGGTAATATTGGCGGGAGCGCCGTAGCCGAGGAAATTATGGGCCCTGAGCTCGACCGTGTAGAAAGTGTCGGGCTGGAGTTCGGTGATGGTGGTCTCCTGTCTGGTCTCCTGTTTGCTGTGGCAATTGCTGTCGACCGTCACCCAGTTGTCGCCGCTGTACCTCTTGGCCTCGCACCACTTGACCTCGTAATAGTCGATGCGCTCTCCGTTGTCCGGCGCCGCTGACCACTTGAGGTTGTACCTGTCGTGGTGGTGCGACAGGACGTAGCTCTTGTCCATCTTGGCGAGGAAGCGCGCCACCCCCGGCACGTTGCGACTCGTCGTCGAGAAGATCTTGTGCAAGCCCCAGTTGCCCCGACCTGCCATGTTCGACGCCGCGAAGCGAAACTCGTACGTCGTCTGGGGCTTGAGATTCTCGACCACGTAACCACTGCTCGAGCCTGCAAACGACGAATCGTCACCATCAGTTTCGCCTGGAATTAAAACCAAGTGGCTTTGATAAATAGGTGAGGAAACGTACCGGCCGTCCACGTTCTGTTCCGGGCGACGCTCCAGGAGGTGTCCTGCTCCTTGTACTCGACGGAAATGGTTCTTATGGGCAGATCGGGGGCCCCGATAGGCGGCACAATGTCGAAGGTGATGCTCGTCGCTGTGGTCTCGATCATCGTAACTTGCAGGATCTCGGCGGGCTTGGGGGCCTCGCGCAGCTCTACCAGATTGTACGCCTCGCCCAACTGGTTTCTGGCGATGCACTTGTACTGCGTGTAGTATCTCGGGTCGCGCGGCGTGACGTACAGCCACGAGATCGGCCCGTTGCCGTGGACCTGGATCAGCGGGTCGTTCTCGACCTTCTGCTCGCCGTAGTACGTCCAGCGGATCGTCGCGTTAGGTATGCTCTCGGCCACGCAAGAAAAGTTGACGGGCCGCTGCTCCCACGTGTATATCGTGCGGTTGTCCATCGCGGCGAACGACGGCGGGAACTGCACCTGCAGGTGGCCGTTCTGGTAGGCTATGCCACCCTTGTTGCTCGCGATGCACTCGTACATACCGTCCTCGGACCTAAAACAGCCCATCCATGTACTATGGTGTCCCAAAAGAGGGTGGGTAAGAAGTTAGCAGCACGTACCTGAGGGTGCGGTCGATGACGAGCTCGCCCGTGGTCTCGCCCTTCTGCTCGTCGGGGGAGTTGGTCACGGTGATCCTGTCGTCCTCGGGCTGATTACCGATGGAGTAGGGCTTCTCGGAGGTGTGCTTGCGGAAGGTGACTATCGGCGCCGGCCGGCCAAAGGCCTTGCAAACCAACCTGGTCCTCTGGTCCTGGGCCACGGTCTCGTTGAGGAACTCTATGATCTTGGGCCGGACGATGACGTTCACCTGGATCGTCATGGTCGCGGTACCGGCGGCGTTGGTGGCCATGCACTGGTACTTGCCGCTGTCCTCGCGCCTCACCCCGTTTATCCTCAACAGGCCATTGTCCTCGTCGACGGCAAAGTGATCGGCGGCCGCCAGGTTCTCCTTGGTCTTCATCTTGACCCACGAGAACTTGGGCCTCGGCTTGCCGTCTCCGTCGCAACGGATGCTCGCCTCCTCGCCCTCGATTATCTCCACCACGGGGTTCTCCAGTTCCTTGATGCTCGGCCTCGTGTGCACCTTTAACGCAATCAATCGACGTTGGTCGAACAAGTGGTTGCCCATCGAGGAGAGGAGAAACAACGTACCTCGACGCGGATGACGCGCTCCTCGAGCTGTCCTGTCTGGGGCACGGACGCCCTGCAGGTGTACACCCCGTCGTCGGACTCTTGGACGTTTTTGATCTTCAGAGCATGGGTGTCGATGATGTAGTGGTCGTTCGTCCGAATGACCTCGCCGTTGTACAACCAATCGACCATTGGCGAGGGCTTGGCGCGCACCTGGCACTTTACCGCAAAGTCCTCGCCCAGGATGGGATTCTGATTTTCCGGGGCATCGTCCCACGTTATTGCAACTGCAACAACCACCCCAAAAAAAAAAGAAAAAAAAAGGGATTAGTGGTTTTTTTTTTTACCCCTTTTGTTGTCGTTAGTTTCGTTGAAATGTAACGCTACCGATTATGTCCATGGTGACTTTTTTGGTGAGGAGCTGGGTGTTGGCGTACTGCGCCCTGCAGATGTAGTTGCCGGCGTGCTCCTCCTTCAGGGAGGTAAAGAATAGACCCAGACTGTTCCCGGTGGAGAACAGTTCCGTGTACATGGCAGGCTTGGAGTAGCTGTTGGGGATTTCACTGCGGAATGGAATGAATACATTTTTTTTTTTTTTTTTCGTTTCTTTCTTCCAGTTGACGTTTCTCGTCTACCGTGAGGGGGTATCGATGTTAATACGAAACAAATGGGGGGTGGATATAATTTTGTTGGCGAGAAATGATGAATGAAAAAAAAAGGAGGGGGGGGAGAGAAAATCCAATAATTGATGGACGAGTAATTTTGACGGGGGGCGTCAGCGCTCTTTACGCCGGCATTGAATGGCAAATGTCAGATCGGGTTTTGGGGGAGGGCAGGGAAATATAATTGTGCACGACTATGGGGGAGGGAGTGATGGTGGAGCAACTGGAGGGAACGGGAGAGGAAAAAAAAAGAATTAGCGTTGCGTCGAGCATTTTAATCGAATAAACCAGGGGATATGCGTGGGTAAGTAATTGCAGGCCGGACCAAAAAATATAATTAATTGCGCTGTTTCGCCATGTGTGGATGAGCCAAAGTGAGGGATTTTGTGGCGCGATGTGTGTTTGAAGGAGTGATGATGCTTGAAAATATAGTACACACACGCACACGCTACGGTATGTAATGCATGTAGAAAAGTAAATTGCTATGGGTGCGTTAATGCTGTCTCATTCAAAAACAAATTATAAACGGAGACACTGGTAGAAAAAATCGCTAGTCTCAAACTATAAGTCATCGGTAACTTCTTGTATGCAAGGAATTTGAACAAAACCACACACATACAAAAGCAAAGTAAAAAATTATAGAGGGGAAAAAAAACCAGGTACAAGCAATAAATTAAGTATGGAAAGAAAAATAAATGCATTCTAAATAGTACTTGTGCGGTAGAGAAAAAAACACTCGAGTAATTCGGCAGAAGTATCATAGTTGCTGTTAGGGTTGAAAATTACAGCATGGTTTGAAAAGTAGGTTTTATTAAAAACGGGATACACACGCACACAAGGAAAGGAGCAAAGACATATTACACGTAAAACAGTACAGTTAGTTCGGGAAAAAAAAAAACAAAAACAACAATAACAACAACGACGACACCTCACGTGAATCGTTAACAATAGGTTGCGTATTAGTGGCGATGGCAAATGTGTTATATACTCGCCTGTCGAGCGGCAAAACGACGAGTCTGTGTGCAAAAAAGAGAAGCGAGAAATACGTTTGATTAGTGCGCCTGTCGACTGTGTCAAAGTGCGTTTCATATATACATTCACATAAGTAAGTATATATGTAAATACAGCATTTAAGTACTCATTAAGTATACTTGTACACATTTATAATACAGTGCCTACTATTGTGTGTGCAACTCTGCAGTGCTCATTCATTCATTCATTCGTTCGTTCGTTCAATTACTCACTTATGTTATTTTTACTTGTTCTAATCACCAAAAATATTGTTATCATTATTCGACTGTCTCATTACTTATTCAATGTTAATTAACATTACGCATTTCAACTGCTCTTCATCTTGCGGAATAATAATAATAATAATAATAATAATAATAATAAATAATGTGTGCCAACAACGTTCGTAACTTCTTTCTCTCGTTGTTATTTTATATAGTGACGAACATTATTGAAGACAAGCACGTGATATGCATGTGTACACAAATATACAAATATACACGTCATGATATAATATATTTAAGTATAAAGTACACACAGTATTCATTATATAATTATGCATTGTGCACCATGTCCTCGACAAATTAATGTACCTTAATGATGCCGATGTACTTAACTTTCTATTGTTTGATTAATTTCGAGTGAGTATTCAAATGAATGTACGGAGTATTGGTGCATGTTGCCACTCAACTTTTATCAGTATATAGTCGTGAGAGAGAGGGAGAGAAAAGAGCAAGATCAAATGAAACGGATAGGAGGGAGTTGTGTACGGTATATATATATATATATATATATCTCACTAGTACATGTGTATATACATATATAAGTGTGTAANTATATATATATATATATATATATACGTATAGAGGGGGAGGGCACGAAGGAAGGTAAGTACGTACTTGCGGCTTTCGATGACGCGGTTCTGCGGGTCGAGCCACTGGATGTCCGAAATGAGTTTCGGGTCGGCGACTCGGGGCTTGCACGTCAACAGGGCACTCGATCCGACGGCCTTTGTCTGGACCTCACCATCCGGCAGGATTTCCAACGCCGGTCTCGATTGATCGTCTGGAAGTAACATTTATACACGTCATGTTATTGGCTATATAATTATACTCCCTTCATTGCCGTTCAATCAATATTTTCCCAATAATACACCAATAGAGTCAGCTTCATAGAGAGTTTCCATTTCGTTTTGTCACCATATATAATCCACATCTTGTATACCATAGAGGGTAGAGAAAATTAAAAATTTACCCTGACAAATAACAAAAAGGAGGTTTTATTAAACGTGCGCTTTACGTATAGTGTGGTTTTTATACGGTACAGCGCATCAGGTGAAAGCTCGAAGCGCGCGCGACGCGATTTTTCAGACGCGTTGCTCCGACAGCAACAACAAAAACGACGGATACTATATATTATAATACGTACGTATAAGAGCGGGCGTGCTCGAGCATCGCGACGGGAGCTTTGCCCGCGGATTTTCCGGAATCCTCCGCGTGAAAAGGTATTGTAGGTGTGTGTAGGCATGTATACGCGATTCCGGAGACAAGCACGTGAGAAAATTGGGAAATCGTATCGTGTGTGCCACGTACAGACTGTTGCTTCTGTCTCGTGGAGGAGAGCGTGGAATAATTAAGGGCATACACAGTGGCAGAGAGAGGTAGGGGCCACGGACGGCCACGGGCAACAGGTAGGTATATAGGTACAGGTATTCACGACTACCCTCAGGTATATCGGAATTTAGCGGAGGCACGCGACCACCACTTACGTACATATATACCTATACAGAGTATACGTAGATATATTTCAAATACAAGTGCATTACCGATGAACCGAGGGGCAAGCTGGGCGTTTACTCATTAACAGATAAATCTTATTCCCATCACTCGAGAGATATTTATCGAACGGAACAAATCACTATCGCATCACTGTACAAAAGTACTTAAAACTCGATGCTCGTGTGCATACACGAGTCTCACACACCCGTGTTGGATAATGTAATATATTGCCCTCGCGCCTATTGCCGAAGTAGCACCGGATATATATACGCATAATTGGCAAAGTTTAATAATACGGGATGGATGTGTATACGTATAGCTTTTGAAATAATAACATCAAGCCGTCGGGGTATAGGGTAATATTCGGGGCACGCTCCTCTCGAACTTCGCCGAGAGAGAGTATGCAGCGAAATTTCATCACAGTTCCAAAACGCGGTGGTACAAGGTATAGGGCCAAGCTTTCGGAGCTAATCAACTCGGCTCCTCTTCATGCAGAGATGGCAAAAAAAGGGCTCGATAACAATTAAAAAAAAAAAAAAAAAGGGCAGGGCCAATTAAAAAAAAAAACAAAAAAAAAACAAAAAAACAACGTATGTAACACATGTACGAGCACAAGAGCGTGCAAGTGGATAAACTTAATGCGATAAAGTACTCTTAATTCCTTACCGAGCGCAATAGTCAAGGTCCCGCGGGGCCCTACGTCACGCGGCTTATTGATGCCGGCGAGCACGTAAACGCACAGAAGCGAGACGCAGACCGTCCTCTCGGCCGCAGCCGCGTCGGCGACCGAACGCCCGTCCATCGCCCGAGTGTGACTAACGGGCGAACAATATCGGCACGTTTGCGAGGATATGCAGCGCAGTTGGGGCGTCGTTGACAGAAGAAAAAAAAAAAAAAAAAAAAAATTGTAAAAAAAGGCATGGGGGGAGCAGCAACGCGACAAAACAGCGCGACTACTTGTACTCCGAAGCGGAAGCGCAAATTAAGCGGGATTATTAATTGAATCGCGCAAGTGGCGAGGGGTATTACCGTCATCTAGGGGAGGAGGGGGCCCGCGATGGCGTATATACATAATAAATGGCGCGCGAGCTTTTACAATGCCACTCGCGCGTCCAATTAGGCCGGGTAATTGTTTGGGAGCTAGTTTATATATGCGTATATGCGCGCACCGGCGGAGAGCTACGCGTCTAGGCGTATAGCTTATACTTTGTCCGACTGCTCTCACGCAAATATTGCGCAGCGGCATGGGAAAAAACTCCCTCAAAAGGGGGGCAGGCCACTGACTTTCGATGCATATATGCTTATGTAATCTCGCTCTGTACTGATGACGCCAGTCCGAAAGACTAAAAAAAAAAAAGCTTTTTAGTTTTGTTTTTGCTTTTAAAAGCGCTTCGCTCAGTCCCACGCTACACTGTTTTTCTTCAATTATGCATAAAACACTTGGGAGGGGTGCTTTTCTGCATAATCCACTTGAATAAATCTTACATGCAAAGCTCTCACCCTCTCGTAAAATGGCACTTGTACATTTACTGTACCACTTATATGCATCCTTACGCGTAAAGAATGGTGTTAAAAGCACCTTTTAAACGAATGAAAAAAAAGAAAATAAAAAAAGAAATGGTACCTAAGAGAGAAAGGAAGAAGAGTGCGACGCACTCGCCGGCAGCTGAGCCAACTTGGGTGAAATGTAATACACGTAATATACATATACGAGCGATTACCATAGAGCGTGACAGAGCCTTGATTAATGTGCTTAACTAAGGTAAGTATACACCACGTATTTATACGCTTTGTACAGTTATATATATATATATATATATATACGTGTGAGTGCGCGCCAGTCAATGGCACGACGCGAGCCGTATATATATACTGGATAGAAGAAAATGTTGACTCGTCGCAATCAATAAATTATATATCTCCTGGCAGCAGAGCTCCCCCGCTAAAATCGAGAGAGAGGAATCGAGGGGAAGAACAACGACGGCAGTGACAACAACTAACGAATGGACGGGTGGACGCCCCAGAGAGCGTCGCACCACATGTATATACTACGGCCTCACCGAGTGAAACATGATTGGAGGATTTTGGCCAAATAATACCCATACCGATTCTCTCTCCCTCTCACCCTCTTTACGATCTGTCTCGTGATGGCTATAAAAGTGCGAGTTCACTCTTGGCTCATATGGTGTATGTACATACATGTGTGTGTGTGTGTATACACAGAGAGCTCTGCACAAAGGAAGCCGAGAGATAATGGAGGAGAGAGTCCACATCCCATGTGTACGCATATACAAGTGCCTATATGTATATATGCGCTCGCAAGCGCCCACAAAAGATCGGTGAAAAAAAGGTGAGTGGGAGTATACACGCGTACAAAAGCTGCACGGTATACCGTACCTAACTCACACACAGAGACGACGAGGACTAAGGAGTTCAATGATACGTAAAGGCGTTTTGGCCACGACGATTCAGAGATTTCGCGCTTTTCGGGCCCATGAATACAAAATACATATATACGCGTAAAGGTCATTGTCGCGGCTCATATACAAAGTGTAAAGCTGCGCGAAGAAAAAAAAAAACTTTTCTTTGACCGGATTTACAATGCGCACGTGTATTTACTACGTTGGTTATTTTTATTTTTGTCGCAAGCTCGTTTGAAAACAGAAAAAAAAATAAATAAATAAAAAAAAATAAATAAATTAAAAAAATAAATAATAAGCTTCGAGGNAAAAATAAAAATAAAAAAAAAGAAATCACGTAATGAAACCGAGGTCCATGTATTTATATTTATATTATAGGTGTAAAGTGAAAATAAGTTAAAGGGCTTTCAGTCCGATGGGCCATGCAGGTTTACGTGATAATGGAAGGATCGGGATGAGTATACTGTATAGTTTCGAATCGAAACAACGCAAGCACTCGACGATCGGAGGAGGGGGAGGGACCCATTCAAGCGTTACAGGTGAATTTAATAGAAAAAAAAGGGAAAAAACGGCACGTACACAATGAGGAGGGAATGCGTCGAAACGTGGAATAAACCGATGGGCATGTATACATATAGTGAATTAGGAATGCGGGGTGCCGATAAAATGCGGTCGAAGCCCTCGCTCGCTTGCAGGTTTTCCCTTTATTTATAGGGACAGCTCTTCCCCCTCGATTATATTCTCCCGCCTCCGCTTCTCCCCGCACGCGGATACATACCTGTAGACAATATAGGTATATGTATGCCGTCCGATACGCCAGACTGGCTTTTAGCCGAACGCGGGACGGGACAGCCCGGGGGCTGCAGGTGCACTTGAGCCCGCGCCGGCGAACCCTTTTACCGAAATTACCCACATCTGCAGCTACGACTATGCCATTTTGTTGTTGGCTTCTCCTGAAATTCGACCTTTTTTTCTCTCTCTCTCTCTCTCTCTCACGCGAGCCCACGCATGCGAACACTATACGTGCTTGGAGCGCGAAGGAAAGTAAGAGTCACAGCTTCGCGTGATCTCGTACATCCCTCGGGAGGAGAGAAAAAAGGCAATTTAACGACACCGCGATACGTGACTTTGTCCTTCGCGAGGTGCACATACACGCGTTTGCGAAGCAAAGAGGCATATACGTATAAAAGCCAAAGGAGGAGGGTAGGTGCGTATAAGAGACGGGGTTGGAGTTATAAACGAGATCTGCAGAGGCTGTATACATGTCGCGGTGTTTTACGTACACGCGTATGTATAACGCGCCTATACAGGCGAAAAAGAAAAAGCTCATTCTCGTATCGCTTTTATTTTCTTGTTACTTTTATGACTCGGGGCTTGATTGCCTCTGGGACAGGTGGAACCTGTGTTTATGAGCTTTATTTCGAGGTACCACCACCACCACCCTCTGCGTAATATACGCACCCCCTGGCAGTCTCCCTCTACTACCGGAGGGATTTTACTCTGTATCGTTATTATTTTCTTTTTTTCCTCCCTCGTTTCGTACACATGTACATATACCTCCACTTATTTTAGTCAAATCGCACATCGCATTTGTTCTAATCAAAAATCCCTACACGCATGGAAAAATTGATTACGAATGGTAGAGATACCTACTCTGTTTTCGAGGCAAGCACTTTTAATGAAGTGCAAACCGACCGATGGTCCATACGATACGTGCACGTTACCTTTTTTCCCTCGTGGACAAAGATAAATTACGCAAACAGGAGGGGGGGGGGGAGGAAATTCCATGGTAGACTTTGCGATGTTTAATTACGTGGAACGAGCTTCCCCGTGTATAAGCAACGAGAGAGCGCATTTGGTATTTTCC